ACACACACACTGTGACACATGAGCTATCTCACACATACACACACACATACAAACACACACTCTGGCACATGAGCATACATACACACACACACTCTGGCACATGAGCAGACATATACACATACACTGTGGCACATAAGCAGTCGTGCACACACACACACTAAATACATTGATTGCATATAAATTTAAAAATTAGGATAAATAAATAGTGCTGAAGATATAACACAGTGGTAGAGGTGTTCCTAACATGGGGAGTGTCCTAGGTCCAAAACCCAGTAAATAAAAACATGGGAGAAATAACAGAACTATCCTAGAGGCGTTGTGGAGATTAAGTGTATAAACAGTCATGCTGTCATTTAGGAACACAGACAAATATAACCTGATTATTATGAGTTGTTACTGCTTGAAGCTGCATTTTGCAGGAAAAAAAGAATTCTCCAGGAATGGGAATTGAACCTAAGGCCCTTCACATGCTAGGCAAGTGTTATACCATGAAGCCACACCCCTTGCTCTAGTTATAGCTACTTTGTGGGTTCTTCTTTTCCCACCCTTTATCCCCCTGGTGTCACCCCCTATCACTAGATAAGACAGAAAGAAGGATAGAAAGAAAGGGAGAAAGGAAGAGAGATCTCTGAATCTAATTTCTTTCCTTTTGATTCTTCTTTGACCACAGCTACTAACAAACCAGCACCACCACCGCTCCCCCCCCCACACACGACCAACAACCACCACACCACCTCTGGGGGCCAAGAATTTATATACCCTCTAAAAAGTTCCCAGAATCCTAAACATCACACAACTGGAGAAACTATCTGCAGCTGGCAAAACCACGCCTCTGCTAGAGCACCACACAAATCCCAGTCAGCTGCTGAGGACAGCCTGAGCGGCCCGTACTCTACACCTGGGATCAAAACAAAAACATATTCTTATTATTTATGTGCTTTTTAAGAGAAACAAAAATTCCAGAGCTGTCATTATAGGTTTGTTTTTATTTTTAGCTAGGATTTCTCTAAGTTGCCTAGCCTGGTTTTAAATTTGAGATGCCCCTGCCTCAGTCTCCCAAATGTCTGGGATTACAAATCCCTGCCATGTCATCCAACTAAAGAGAAATATATCTTTAAGGTTTTTCTCTTTGGGAAAGCAGCTGATGGAATTTCCATTGTTAGGGCACCTTCAGTCCTCGGTTCTACCACCTTACCCAAGGATCCAAGTTCCTGGTTCACAGATACCACCAGTGCCAGAACCTTGCTGTACTGCAGAGACAGACAGACCAGAGCCATCAAGCCCAGAGAGCTTTCTAGAGAGCTGCGGGGCACCAAGCCCAGAGTGAGTACTGTGTCCCCTATCTCTCCCCCGCCCCGTTCTTTGCCCTACTTGCTCTAGCCTGGTAAGGTTAGACCCTTAACACCCCCGCTCCTGAGAATCGTCAGGTGTTTGTCCTGTCTCCCCTTCGTCCAGATGTGAATTCTTCCTGGGACATCTTCAACGAGCCCTCCGCGATCGCTTCTACCCACTGCTGTTCCGGGTACTCTCAATGCAGCCTCTCTGCCCGGAGCTTTGCCAGATGTGGTAAGAGAGGCGGGTACAGGGGCAGAGGCGTGTCCTACGGTATGGTGCAGGACCCAGGGCATTAGTTTGCCCCTACAGAGCCAGAATGGATGGGTCTGTAGAAAGAAATTTAGTGTATACTCTGCAAGGCAGAAAGGGGAGAGGCCTGAGAATGACCTGGCCTTTAAGCAGCGCGAAGGAGTGGTTCTGGTGGACCAGGAAGCTTCAAAGCTTCAGGCTTTTGACTCGCAGAGAAGCTAAGAGGGAATGCAAGGAGCTACGAATGGGTTGTCTGGCTAGAGAACGGCAGGGCAGTTAAGAATGCTTACTGCTTTTTCAGAGGACCCGAGTTCTGGTCCCAGCTCCCCCCTCCCCCCATCAGGCTCACAGATGCCTGTAACTCCAGATCCGGGGGATCTGATTCCCTCTTCAGACTCCCCTGGCACCCGTACTAATGCAGGTACCAGATGCACACAACTGATTTAACAATAATGTTAAGCCTTTAGGTGGTGGCACGTGACTTTAGTCCCAGCACTCTGGAGGCAGAGGCAGGTGTATCTGAAAGGACCTGGAAGTCAGTTGGTAGAAGACACCCCAAGTTCTTAGCACAAAGGAGATTTATTTGCCCCAAGGGGAAAAGGGCACTGAATAAGAGACAAAAGACAGGAAACAGGCCAAGGGAGAAGGGAAGAGGAACAAGGGAGGGGGAGAGATATTTGTCTTGGAGGGACAAAGAACTGCCTCTGGAGAGAGGAGACAGAAGTGGCCTATAGACAAATGTTGGTTTATAAAGAGAAACCCTCCTGTTACGATGACGTTCTTAATTTTAATTAAGGATGTTAATTAGGTGAGCCAAAGGGGGCTTTTAGTTGTTGGCTTTCAATATTTTGACAGCTGGGCCTTGGGAGTCGGTCTCTGGAGGAGAAAGTAGCCAAATAAGAGAACAGACCTGGTGGCTAGCTTTAGGAATGTTTTAATTTGTTTTTAGCAAGGAAGAGGAAATTGGGAAGAGCAAGGCCTGCTAGAAACATGTTTGCCCGCTAGAGTCCCTTCAGTATCTCTGAGTTGAAGCCAGCCTGGTCTACAGAGTGAGTTCTGGGACAGCCTACACAGAGAAACCCTATCTTGAAAAAACCAACCAACCAACTCTATCTATCTATCTATCTATCTATCTATCTATCTATCTATCTATCT